CTCAATCTCTCCCCCTCTCGGGCCTCTACCTCCGTCTCTCTCTTGTACATGCTAATCTCTTTTTCTCTCGTTGTCCCTCTCTCAATTATTATACACACACGCGACCTATTCGGAAACACTACTGATTGCCATGAGAAAGAGAGAGGGAGACACGTGACATTGCCACGTACTTGCACGTGCGCTGCATATCCCGAGAGAGCGAGAGAAAGATAGATAGATAGATAGATAGAGAGAGAGAGACAGGGCGACACGTGACTTTCTTATGTGCTTGCATGTGCGCGGCCTCTTCCCTGTCGTCCGTGCACCTGCCACGTGGTCCATTCGGTCCTCAATCGGCCTATTCCCATCGATGTCGTCCGTGCAGTTGCCACGTGGTGCAATCGCCATCCTTACACTTGCCACGCGGCTGCCACTTGCCAGCTACCACGAGGTGCACTACGTCCTTAGACTCTCTCTCTCTCTCTCTCTCTCTCTCTTCTTTCTCTCTCTCTCTCTCTCTCTCTCTCTCTCTCTCTCTCTCTCTCTCTCTCTCTCTCTCTCTCTCTCGCGCGCGCGCGCGCGCGCGCGCGCGCGCGCGCGTGCGTGTGGCGAGGAACCTTTTCCAGTGAGCGATCCGGATTCTGACGTGCACAGTCTCATGTGTCGATCTGCGCGCCTGCCACGTGCCAAAAACACCCCACCTGTGGGGTTACTCTTTCTCTCTCTCATTCTCTTTGTCTCTCTTTCTCTCTCTCTCTCATTCTTTCTCTCTCTTTGTGTCTCCCCCTCTCTCTCTCTCGCCTCAGCATCCTTGGTGTCTTCCGTTGATGCGCCAGCTGATGTGCCGAGGACTGTCTTCTTTCCCTGTTCCATCTTCTGACGTTCATCCTCCTCATCTAACTGCCTGATGTAAAGGATCAGATCCTCCAAGTCTTTCTTTTCCTTCTCCTTGAATCTCCTGGTCTCAGAAGATACATTCCTTCTTCTCTTCCGACTCTCCTTGCGGCGCGGACATACGTGGTGTTCCACCCACCATTCATCCCAAGATGATGATGACAAGTCTACATCATCGGTCATCCTCCTCTCCCAAGATTCAAACGTATGGGCCATGGGGGGGGGGGGGGGGGGGGGGGGGGGGGGGGGGG